CCCAGAATTCCCCAGCCAGCGAATGCTGGCTGGGGAATTCTGGGAGTTGAAGTCCAGACGTCTTCAAGTTGCCAAGGTTGAGAAACACTGATGTAGAGAATGCACAAACCAGGCTTGATTACCAATTATTACAGTTTTAAGGCCAGCATCACCTCCCTCCGCTTCCCCCAAATGATTTTAAACCCTCTTGCTCTTTCAAGTCCCACAAATGCAACCCACCCGAGTAACAGTTAAAACTTTTCAAGAAATAATAAATATATATATATATACATACAATTTCTGAACCGCACTGTTTATTTTTGCTGCTTGAAACCTAAGTGACAGTATGCCACCATAATTGTGGGTTTCCTCTAATCCTTTATTACACTGCAGGTACAGAAATATGCAGACACATTTTGGGAGAGTTGACATTTTGCAAAATGCAGCAAACATTTCAATGTATACATGAGAAAAGAAATGTTCAAAAGGGTATGCGTTTCAAGTTATTGCAGGTTATTTTTTGTGAGATTTTTTTTTTCTGCAGGTAAAATAATGCTTAAATTTAAACCAACAGGAACGTGTCAGTGTAATTAAAAATCATGACAAACATAACCTTCTCTCTGGCCATAAGGTGCCCCTTGGCAGATTATTTAGGGTGTCGCGTGGTGAGGGCAAAAAAGGTCAACACAGCATCAATCCCGTGGCGTTTTGGTTTTCTTCTGAAGATTAAAGCTGTTGTTTTTTTTCTTGGGATAAATGCAGCAGCAAAACACAAACCAGCTGATCAAAAAAGCACTTCTGCCAGTAACTCCAATAATTTCAGGGCACATCAACCGACAGTAGTTTTGCCATTCCCAGTTTTTAAGGTTTACATCACTGCGCTGTTCTTAAATGGATTTTCATCATAGCTTGTTCTTGTTTAAGCCAGCTTACTGACTACTGCCTGGTTGAGTGAGTTTAGTTGGTTGGTCCATTTATCTAACGCAGTATATCGTGCTCCGCCCCGCTTCTGATGATCTAACTCAAGGAGTTGATTTACTTGATCGATCCGACCATGAATAGTGCTGAAAGAAACAAAAACACAAACGTTATTACTAACTAATACATGTTTGACATACCCAATGCTCTCACCATGGATAAATACGTCGCACAATACTTTTGAATTCCCTCCTTAATTTCTTTTCACATCTAATTATACAGGAGCATAATCTAGGTGCTTCTATTAATACTAACCAGAATTTGTTACAAGTTTGCGAAATCTGTTTTGAAACTAATCAATGATAAATGCTACTGCAATTTTAGCTTCAAATGGGATTCGCACGATGCGTCCAAACCCACACAGTATTCCTAATTAATACGACCAAGAGATTGTGAATATAGTATGCTAGAGTTGAAACCGAAGAAAACAAGAGCACTTTAGAGCTGAAACTCTACATACGTTCCAAATACCAATTGCATGCAAGCTGATTTTTTAAAAAAACCACACATACACAAAACCAGCAACAAAGGGAGGGGGGGGGGGACTGAACAATGCAGACACAATGTCTCTCAAACATATAAGTTCCTATTATAAAAAAAAAGCTCTTACAGGGGGAGGCATTTTGGTCAATGAATTCTTAAAGAAATATTAGAATTTTTTTTTACTTATAAATTAAATTTGTTTTAAAAGCAACACTTAGCTCAAAGCCAAAAAGAAATGAAATTGGAACTTTTGAAAGTAGGTGCTATGGTGAAATGGAGGTCACAGTGAAATGATGACTCTTTCCTAATAAAAACAATTGCAATCAGTGAGATAATTTGACATACGCCAACGTTAACCCAGTATCTGTTTTTATTTTGTTCTACCCCACCAATCTAGAGAGCCTCCTTGGTGTAATGATTAAGGCATCAGGCTAGAAATTGGGAGTCCTGCCTTAGACCTAAAGCCAGCCAAGTGATCTTGTGACTCTCTCTCAGCCCTACAAAAAGGAAGTTGCAAGCCATTTTTGAAAGACTTTGCCAAGAAACAGCAGGGACCTGTCCAACTCGTCTCGGAGAATCAGACACAATTGAACAGAAGAAGAAAAAATGTTACCCAATCGAATGACAAGGTTGATGGGAGTTGTGAATGTTTGACCTTTGGTAGGTATTAGTTGTAATGACCTGGAGGCTTATTCAGTAAACTCCCAGCCTCCTTACCAGTAGATATCTGATTGATGTTTTTAAACTACATCCTTATGAATCAATCCTATTATTATTGAGTTAGCATTAAAATGCTAGGAGAGGGGGAAAAAATACTCTGGCAGCTACGTTTAGAGTTTAGAGTTTTATGCTTAGTCCTGTTTTTGAATATGATCAATGTTTACCGAACAATACAAAATGATAATGGGAATTACTGCCTATTTGTAAGTTTATCTCCTACATGATACCACTTTTCCCACAACCAAACCATGTTGAATACACTATTCTGCTATTACCATGCAACATAACATCAACTTCATTTTAATTGGAAAAATAATAATGCACTGTTTATATGCCGATTACTTCTCTCAGACCAATTAGATCGCACAGGTTAGGTCTCCTCCGGATTCCATCTGCCAGCCAATGTCGG